TAAAAAATGATTTTTCCTTTTCAAATAAAAGGCCTATATGAGCTGGAAGTTTGAATCCCTAATTTCACCGTCTCAAGGTTGTTAGGCGTCTTGGGGTAAGATCTGAGATGAAACTTGAAATTGATACCACCGCGAGCTCTGTTTTCCCTGTTGAGTACCACCCCCAAGCGCCGCTACAGAGACCCATAGCTCTACCCTCCATCTTCGGCAGTGGTGGTGCGATGGTGCGGTCGACTAGCACCTGCATTTTTTTAATTCATTGTGGTGGTGCGGTAGTGATTACCAAATGCTCCTCTTTTTCTCAGTTTAAACAATCTCTGTGCAACACCCAAATGTACTTCTCCATTCCCTTTGCAGTAATTAATGCGGGATATCCAAACTCGTGTCAATCCTCTGGGGATGGAAACAAATGCTCCAATGCGGGTCATATGGGTTGGGTTAAAAATCATCCTGTGAAACCTCAACCACCTGACTAGTTTTGTTGTGATGAATGGATTAAGCAAACATGTAGATGGTAAAGAACATGCAGCCAAGCGTACTAAGACAGAATTTCCCCTCTCGATTCATAAAGGTATTAATCTGTCCTTAAAATGTTTGCATTAGCTTTGCTAGGTGGCTGTGGTAACTGGTAAGTTTTTAATCTGATAATAATATGTTTCTTTTGCTGCATCTACTAGGACTTAGAGACCCACCCCATTCTGAAAATTACTAAGTTGATTACTCTGCCTGTCTGCCATGTATGAGAGGTAAATAGAAGTTTTAAATCTTGTCCATTAACTTACAACTCAATGGGTTTATTGCAATTAACTGGCTAATTGCTTATTCATTCACTGACAGCTCAATGGGGTTTATCTGGACCGACTAACTGGTTTAATTGTACGAATTATCATGTTTGAGTGGTTAATTACATTTTTTTTTTTTGTTTAGTAGTTTACTTGATCATTTTTCTTAAAATATACTGTAATTTAAAATTGAACTATAAATTTAAATTGAAATATAAATTCATAAAACACAAACAGTGTTTTTATTTTATTTTTAAATGTGAATGTGTCTGTTGGTCAAAGTGGGGACTGTAGTTGTCCCCACTTCACTTGCTCCAACATCAACTTTTATATATATATATATATATATATATATATATATATATATATATATATATATATATATATATATATATATATATACTAGTAGCGCATATTAAAGTAAATCATATGAAGCAGTATGATAAGTTCTTTATGGTGATGACTTTGGCTACCCTTCGGCCTGACCAGGTTCACATTCGTGATCAGATTCTATCCAGTCCTAGTGTGCCTACCTACACTGAAGCTGTTGCCAGACTGCTTCGTATTGCCTCAACTCCCTCGATTGAACCTATTGGAGAATCATCAGCTCTAGCTACTCGGGCTGTGGATAGAGGACCTTCTGGACCATCTAGTGGTGGTGGTGGTCGTCGTGGCAAACGTCCTCGGTGTGAATACTGCCACAAAGATGGTCATACCAAAGATCGTTGTTGGAAGTTACATGGTCGGCCTCCCCGTTCTGTTAATTTGGTCCAGGCTGCTGCATCCGAGAATCAGACTCATGAGCCAACCTCTACCCCAGTTGAGATGACCTCTAGGCAATATGAAGAGTATCTCCAACTTAAAGCAGCATCCCGCCTTGAATCTTCCATACCTAATGCTGGTACTTCATCTTTGGTTTGTCTTTCACACGCCAATACTCCAAATTCTTGGATATTGGACTCAGGTGCTTCAGATCATATTTCCGGTAACCTTTCTCTTTTGCATAATGTGTCTAAGTCTAAGACTTTACCCATGGTCACCTTAGCTAATGGTCATCAAACACCAGCAATTGGTGTTGGTCAGGCTTCCCCTATATCGTCTTTTTCCTTGGAGTCTGTTTTATATGTCCCTAACAGTCCCTTCAACCTTATCTCTGTGAGTAAAATTACCCGTACTCTCAATTGTTCCATAACCTTTTGTGCTGATTCGGTTGTTGTGCAGGATCGCAGTACGGGGAGGGTGATTGGCACCGGCAATGAGTCACAGGGCCTCTATTACATGCGGGGTGGTGATGTTGCTGCTTCTGCCTCTACAGAGTCTCCTTTACTTATTCATAGTCGTTTGGGTCATCCTAGTCTCTCTAAACTAAAACGGATGGTCCCAGGCCTGTCTATTGAGTCTTTTGATTGTGAGTCGTGTCATCTTGGAAAGCAATCACGTCAGTCTTTTCCGAGAAAAGTCAATAATCGGGCTGCGTCCCTCTTTGATTTAGTTCATTCAGATATATGGGGTCCTTGTCGTGTCAACTCTATTTTGGGTTTTCGTTATTTCGTAACCTTTATTGATGATTATTCAAGGTGCACTTGGATTTTCCTTATGAAAGATCGTTCTGAATTGTTTCAGATTTTTCAAACTTTTTGTGCTGAAATACAAACTCAATTTGGCAAACTCATTCGTGTTTTGCGTAGTGATAATGCTAAAGAATATCTCTCTCATCCTTTTCAGTCATATATGACATCTCGTGGTATATTGCATCAAAGGTCATGTGTTTACACACCTCAACAGAATGGGGTGGCTGAGCGTAAGAATAGACATCTAGTAGAAATTGCCCGTACTATGTTGTTACACTCCCATGTTCATTCCCAATTCTGGGCTGATGCTATCCTTACTGCTTGTTACCTGATCAATCGCATGCCATCTTCTGCTCTTAACAATGACACCCCATATTCCATTGTGTGTCCTTCTGTTGATCCTTTCCCTATTAAACCTCGTGTTTTTGGGTGTGTTTGTTTTGTTCATGACATGACTCCAGGTCGATCCAAATTAGATCCTAAAGCAGTCAAGTGTGTCTTTTTGGGTTATTCCCGTGTCCAAAAGGGTTATAGGTGTTATTCTCCAGCACTAAAGCGTCACTTTGTGTCCGCAGATGTCACCTTTATTGAGTCCACACCATTTTTCCAGTCCTCATCAGGAGACACGATCCCTGTCTCTGAGGTGCTCCCCGTACCTTATCTTGGTCCACTTCCTCTTGTCCAGTCCACTGTTCCTCCAGCTCAACCGACTCCTCTTAACTCGCCCCCTTCAGGTTTATCACCGGCGTCCTCGCCCTGCAGTTCCTTAGGTCCCTAGTGACTTGCCAGTACTGTCCGATCCTCCGGCTGCGGTTCCATCACTTCCACTGCAATCTGACACTGATCTCACTGAGGCACCTATTGCTGTTCGAAAAGGTACACGTTCTACTCGTAACCCCCATCCTATATATACCTTTCTGAGTTATCACCGTTTCTCGTCCCCTTACTTTGCATTTCTTTCTCACCTATCTTCTGTGTCTATACCCAAATCCACTCGTGAGGCTCTCTCGGATCCAGGTTGGCGTCAAGCCATGTTAACAGAAATGGAGGCCCTCCAGTCTAGTGGCACGTGGGAGTTGGTTCCTCTTCTTCCTGGTAAAACTGTGGTTGATTGTAGATGGATTTATACGGTGAAAGTGGGCCCTGATGGCGCAATTGATCGTCTTAAGGCTCGTCTGGTGGCAAAAGGCTATACTCAAATTTTTGGTTTGGATTATACTGATACTTTTTCCCCGGTTGCTAAAATTGCTTCAGTTCGTTTACTGTTGTCTTTGGCAGCCATTCATCATTGGGACTTACACCAGCTGGATATCAAGAATGCCTTTCTTCATGGTGATCTTCACGAGGAGGTTTATATGGAGCAACCACCTGGGTTTGTTGCTCAGGGGGAGTCTGGTATGGTATGTAAACTTCGCCGTTCTTTATACGGTTTAAAGCAATCTCCACGAGCTTGGTTTGGAAGGTTTAGTTCTGTGGTGTGTGAGTTTGGTATGACAAGAAGTGCAGTTGATCATTCTGTTTTCTATCGTCATTCTAATGAGAAATGCATATACCTTGTAGTATATGTGGATGACATTGTTATTACATGGAGTGATCAAGAGGGCATATTTCAGTTCAAGGAGTATCTCTTTTGTCGGTTCCAGACTACGGATTTGGGTAAGCTGAAATACTTTCTTGGAATTGAAGTGGCTCAATCTAGCAGTGGCGTTGTTATTTCTCAAAGGAAGTATGCCTTGGATATCTTAGAAGAAACTGGCATGCTGGACAGTAGACCGGTTGATAATCCAATGGATCCGAATGTTAAACTCCTACCAGGACAGGGGGAGCCATTGCCTGACCGAGACGATATAGGAGATTAATTGGAAAACTGAATTATCTCACGATCACATGACCTGATATCTCCTTCGCAGTTAGTGTGTTGAGTCAGTTTCTTGAGACACCTTGTGATTCTCATTGGGATGCTGCTGTTCGTGTTCTAAGGTATATCAAGAGAGCACCAGGACAAGGCTTAGTATATGAAGATAGAGGACATTCACAAGTTGTTGGGTATTGTGATGCAGATTGGGCTGGTTGTCCGTTTGACAGACGCTCTACTTTAGGTTATTGTATTCTCATTGGAGGTAATCTCATATCTTGGAAAAGTAAGAAGCAGGATGTGGTTGCTAGGTCCAGTGCTGAAGTAGAATATCGAGCCATGGCGCTTGCCACATGTGAGCTTATGTGGCTTAAACACCTACTACAAGAATTGCAATGTGGCAATGTTGCCAAAATGACGTTGATATGTGACAATCAAGCAGCTCTACACATCACGTCAACTCCTGTTTATCATGAGAGGACTAAACACATTGAGGTTGACTGTCACTTCATTAGAGAGAAGATTGTGTCAGGGTGTATTAAAACTAGCTTCGTTAATTTTGCAGATCAGTTAGCTGATATCTTGACGAAATCCCTTAGAGCTCCTAGAGTTGAATATATTTGTAACAAGCTGGGAGCTTATGATCTATACTCTCCAGCTTGAGGGGGAGTGTTGAAACCCTAGGCCCGTTACAGTGGGCCCATTAGGTTATAACTAGTTTTCCAGTATAAATTATTGTAATCTGTACAGTTCTATGTCAAGAAATAGATGAAACCCTTCACACTTTCACAGATTTGAATGGAACACCAGGCATGGGCAAGTTGGGAACCATCACCCAAACTTTTGTAATTGCTAACGCAACTGGTTTTTGGCTATACTACAAGGTTTTTAATAGCTCAAGCTTGGTAAGGGCAATAATATCAAGCTCTGGGACCTTACAGTTCTATTTATGGGCAGATGGTTCACAGGAATGGAAAATTCTCTACACTGCACCCACAGATATCTGTGACAGATATGGATATTGTGGAGCAAATGGTATTTGTTACTATGATAACTATCCTTCTTGTAGTTGTTTAGACAAATTTATGCCTAAAAATGCAGTGGGGTGTGTTCGGAGGACACCCTTGAGTTGTCAAAATGGATCCTCAGATGGATTCTTGAAATATAGTGGTCTTAAATTTCCAGATACAAAGTTGTCATGGTTCAACAGCAGTATGGACCTTAAAGAGTGTGAGAAATTTTGCTTGAAGAATTGCAACTGTACAGCTTATTCAAGTTTGGACATAAGTAATGGAGAACATGGCTGTTTGATTTGGTTCGGTGATTTGATTGATCTTAGAGTGCTACCTGGGCAAGATCTTTTCATTAGGATGGCTGCTTCTGATTTAGGTAACAATTTATAATTGGGTCACACTTGTGTCAGATCGTCTCATGGATAAGTATCCGTGAGACGGGTCACGCGTCTGGTCGGATCAATATGAAAGTGTAATACTTATACTGAAAAATGTGCAATACTAATCAGGAATAAAGTGTTTGTTACTTATAAAGGAAAGTGTAATACTTTTAAGGAAAAATATAATACTTTTACACTTTCCCTTACAAATAATGTAAAAGTATTATATTTTTCCTTAAAAGTATTACACTTTCCCTTATAAGTAATAAACAGTTTATTCGTGATTAGTATTACATTTTTCAGTATGAGTATTACATTTTCATTTTGATTTGACTCGTTTCACAGACAGATCTGTGAGACTGTATCACACAAGTTTTTGCCTTTATAATTATATTGAATTGAATTTTCCAAGACATAAATCTACAAAGTGTTTGTTGGCAGTAGCTAATTGAATATCCTGTTTTGGTAGATTACACTTCAAGCTCAAAGGGCAAGAAATTAAATAATATAGTAAAATGGACTTCATCATTGTTGATTGTACCGCTGGCTCTGAGTTTGGTGACTATGATTCTGAAACTCTATAAACGGAAATGGAAGGAGATGGAACCAGTTCAAACAGAGTTGTTATTGGTAGAAGATCAAACGTTATTTGAAGCATCTACAATAATAAGAGCAACTGAAAACTTTTCAATCAAGAACAAGATTGGAGAGGGAGGGTATGGACCTGTTTACAAGGTAATTGTGTTGTCAAAAAATAGATTATGACCAAGTAATAGCCAAGCTTTTTGATATCACAAAGAATTCATTTGCAGGGAGTTCTAGATGATGGTAGGGAAATAGCTGTGAAAAGGCTTTCAAAAACTTCTACTCAAGGGCTTGAAGAGTTCAAAAATGAAGTCAATTTTATTGCTAAACTTCAACTTAGAAATCTTGTGAATCTTCTTGGATGGTGCATTAAAGGGGAGGAAATGTTGTTGATATATGAATATATGCCAAACAAAAGCCTGGACTCATTTATATTTGGTATACTTGAAACATCTACATTATTGCATTTTATCACTTCATTTAAAATAGCAGTATATGCTTAAACCAATAAAATGAATTCTTGGAAAAGAAAGATCCAATCTTGGATGAATTTTGTAGTTTCATAGAATGCTAAAACCTTTCTTTTGCACAGATAATTCAAGAAGAGTGTTACTTGATTGGACAAAACGCTTTGACATTATCAATGGTGATACGGTTAATACCCGTGTACGTAGGATGTATGTATGTATGTGTATGAACAATGTAGAGGATAGCTCAAGTAGATCTCTTTTATTCATAATTATTTGTAGAGAGAAGGGAGAGCATTCTAGAGAGAGAGAGAGTATAGTGTAGTGGAGAGGAAGCCCCTAAAATGAAGGGTTAAAATCCCTTATATAGGTCAACCCAAGCCGGGTTTGACCTTGACCCGAACCATTTGACCCGACCCAAATAGGAGCACGAAGCGTACGGGGAGCCTGAACCCGGGGTATATTCCCCATCATGAAGCCCCCCCAGCCCGTGCCCTGACGATGAGTTAGCGAGGAAGGATTCGGGCTAGAGAACTGATCACACGGTCCGTGACTTGCGCCGGTTGCCTCGTTAAAAACCTTAAGCTAATAAAAAACCCAATGGGAAAAACTTTAGCTAAGTAAAAAAGAGCACAACGCTAAACGCAGTCTGGTGGACTAAAAAAAAGGGAGTTGCCCGACCTAGGGGTCGGTTTTGCAACATGATTCGAGAGGTCGAACCTTTACCGGACGAACGACCGGGAAGCTAGCTAAGATTTAGAGATCGGGTTAGCTGCGATCTAGAGGTCTACTTTACCGGTCTTCCGACCGGGTTTCTAGGTACGACCGGGAGGTCGGATTTATTTACGATTTGGGGATCAAACTTTCTATGACTTAACACTAGGAGACCGGGAAGGTCGATCTACGCGGGAGCGCGACGAGCTACTACCGATGTAGCCCTTCACTCCCTTAGTTGCGAAAATCGTCAACATAAGATAGTAGATATGATAGCTTTCCGAGTTTGCTTTGCAACTTTAATCGCGATCTGCAAATGAATCGACTGAACTCACGATGCCGATGCATCAAACTATACTTCGGCCGACCGGGCGTAGAGCGCCGGTGGTGGCTATGCCAACCTAACCGGACGTGGAGCACCGGAGGTGGCTATGCCGACCTAACCGGGCGTAGAGCGCCGGCGGTGGCAATGATGCCGACCGGGCGTAGAGGCGACGGTGGCGGCTATGCCAACCTAACCGGGCGTAGAGCGCCGGCGGTGGCAATGATGCCGACCGGACCAGACTTAAAGCGCCGGTGGCGGCTATGCCGACCTAACCGGGCGTAGAGCGCCGGCGGTGGCAATGATGCCAACTGGGCGTAGAGCTCCAGTGGTGGCTATGCCGACCTGACCGGGTGTAGGGCGCCGGTGGCGGCTATGCCAACCTAACCTGGCGTAGAGCGCCGGCGGTGGCAATGATGCCGACCGGGCGTAGAGCGCCGGTGGTGGCTATGCCGACCTAACCGGGCGTAGAGCGCCGGCAGTGGCAATGATGCCGACCGGGCGTAGAGCGCCAGTGGTGGCTATGTCTAGCCCCCCGAGTCCGAGCGGCTATGACGGTCGGTCAATTGCCGGTCGGACTGAATGGAAGGAGACGTGGAAGAAACGTGCATATAGCCCCCCGAGTCCGAGCGGCTATGATGGTCGGTCAATTGCCGGTCAGACTGAATGGAAGGAGACGCGAAAGGAACGCGTGTATAGCCCCCCGAGTCCGAGCGGCTATGACGGTCGGTCAATTGCCGGTCGGACTACAAGAAGAAGAGGGGAAACGCGAAAAGATGCGTGTATAGTACGAGCGGCTATGACGGTCGGTCAATTGCCGTCGGACTACAAGAAGAAGAGGGAAACGCGAAAAGACGCGTGTATAGCCCCCCGAGTCCGAGCGGCTATGACGGTCGGTCAATTGCCGGTCAGACTGAATGGAAGGAGACGCGAAAGGAACGCGTGTATAGCCCCCCAAGTCCGAGCGGCTATGACGGTCGGACTACAAGAAGAAGAGGGGAAACGCGAAAAGACGCGTGTATAGCCCCCAAGTCCGAGCGGCTATGACGGTCGGTCAATTACCGGTCGGACTAAAAGAGAAGAGGGGAACGCGAAAGGACGCGTGTATAGCCCCCCTAGTCCGAACGGCTATGACGGTCGGTCAATTACCGGTCGGACTAAAAGAGAAGAGGGGAACGCGAAAGGACGCGTGTATAGCCCCCCTAGTCCGAACGGCTATGACGGTCGGTCAATTGCCGGTCGGACTAAAAGAGAAGAGGGAAACGTGAAAGGACGCGTGTATAGCCCCCCCAGTCCAAGCGGCTATGACGGTCGGTCAATTGCCGGTCGGACTATAAGAAGAAGAGGGGAACGCGAAAAGACGCGTGTATAGCCCCTCGAGTCCGAGCGGCTATGACGTTCGGTCAATTGCCGGTCGGACTAAAAGAGAAGAAGACGACATTGTGGTCGTTCGGGCAACAAGGCCGGAAGTTTAAGCGACATTGCGGTCGTTTGGGCAACAAAGGCCGGAAGTTTAAGCGACATTGTGGTCGTTTGGGCAACAAAGGCCGGAAGTTTAAACGACTTTGCGGTCGTTTACAAGTTTAAGCGACTTTGTGGTCGGCGGGCTATTGCCCTCATCGGTCGGTAAACCGGGTTGTTACGTGGCACTTGCGTCGTAGAGTCGAAGCCTCGTCCAATCGGTCCGGAGACCCAAAATTGCCTACGTAGTAGGGCTTGATGCTGGGAATTTTCCCGGGCTTAACAATGCCGGTGGTGGCGAGGCCGACCTGACCGGGCTCTAAGCGCCGGTGGTGGGAATACCAACCTAACCGGGCTGGGGGTGCCGGTGGTGGAAATACCAACCTAACCGGACTTTTTACAATTAAATTCTAATTATTACAATTTTCCTAGGTATAGGCCCATAATTTAATACAGCTAGGCCTTTACAACTTACAAGCCAAATATGCTACGGCCCACTTTAATATGTGGGCCTGACTATACAATTTGTAATTTTGAAAATTACATAAATAAATTATTAGCTAGGCAAATAGCACTGGAACTTTCCAACGTGTTGAACGCATGCCAGCCACCACTCCCCTTGTGCCTTGTTAGTTGGCCAGTGAATGAGAGAGGAAAACAGTCGGGCCGGTGAGAAAAAGTTGCTTGGGGCGATCGGGAACGCGAGTTACTGTTGACCGATCGGGGTCGGTACCGATCCGCCACTTGTGACTCACTGATCGATCGGGCGGTGGTGATTCGCTCTTTCGGGAACCTCCTTAAAGTACTGACGCCGGGAGCTCAGACGTAGTGTAGCATTCGGAGAAACCTTTGGTGAAGATAACTCAGGATCCTTTAATGGCTTTCATGTACGCACATACACGGAGGTCTCAGCTGCGATCGCTCGACCATCAGTCGCGGCATACGCGGAGTCAACGATCGGAGCCGCCGGGATGCTATAATCAACAGCTGCCTATGGGATGCTCGGATTGTGAATTCGCTGAACAACGCGGATTCTAGACGGCATGACCATCGCTATATTGCTTACGCCCGAGAATTCTGATGTGTTGATGATGATAGAGCTTGGATCACTTGCTCGGGAAGTAGCATGGATCGAAACAGGGTCCACCTGACTTAAGCGATTGCTGCTATTTGTGCGACCAGAACCGAGGTCGGTGTACTTAGGAACCCGGCTGCTACTCGGGAAAGGTCGGGAATTTAATCTGAGATGTCGGTCGGTCTATCCGCGTGGCTTGGCGGTCGGGAACATGCTCCGTCACTGCGGTCGGCGTCTGAAATACGGTCGAGAATACGTCGCTGAGAAACGACCGGGAAGCTTGGATTGTGACCGGGAATATGTTTGGGGTTTCACTCGTTCCGGACCATCCGAGGTTGATCCGATCGGGTTCCGGATCATTTGAGATTGACAGCTTCTTCTGTACCGGTCGTAAGGAGAAACCATTTATGATGGCAGCTCGGGTTCTTTCAAACGGAGGGTTGTGATCAATCAGACTTGGAATACACCTGCCTTCCCACAACGATCGATGTGACGGATCATGTTCGACATTGCTTGCTGATCCCAGGTGGCAGCTCGGTTCTTCATGAACTTCGTTAATTGTTCGCTTGGCGAAGGTCGGGAAGATAATTATGGCCGGTGGTGTTCCGGTCGGTTGCGCGAGACATTCATGTTGGTCAGTCGGGAATGACGAGAATGCTGGCCATAGCTCTGCCCCGATCCATTTATGCAATTTACAAATTGAAAATCTACCGCTGGTCCTAATACATTTAGCTATGACTAATACAAGTAGCAATTTAAGAAAGATATTCATGATCTTCCCAACTTGAAAGCTTTTGGAAATCTACTCTCAGCCTCGGGTATATCTCTCAAGGCTACGTGAAACTTGGTACGAGACTCCAAGATCGGGAAAATCAGAATTACACCGACCAGGTTCGGAGGATGCTCGGGAAAATCTGTTCGGAGCAACCGTTGCCGGCAAGCTTGTCGACCATCAAGAAAACGGCCGGTAGCTTGGGCTCGTTCCGGAGACAGATCTTTTTCCTTGCATGCATTTTTCATTTCCCTTCATACACGTGTAAGTGCCTTCATTGATTCCTTCCACTATCTCGATTCTCACGAGCCACCGCCACCAACTACCAATTATATTACATGCATTAAATCAATTTATATTTCTTTTGCTTTTTGACTAACTCCACCGCCACTTTCCATCAATAGAATTGCACGCAACATTTAATTTCTATTTTCCTTTTATTCTGCCATCGCTCTGCTATGACCTCCCATTCCCACCTTTAACATGGGTTGTCTTCAGCAACTCAAGAAGAAACACACAATTCTTCTTTTCCAATGGTGGCTGCAACGGTGATGGAGGCAACGTTTCGATCGGGGAGAACGTTCTCTGTTCTTTTCCAGAACTGGAGATTCATTCCAAATATAAGGGTCATGAAAATGTAGCAGAATAAAGTAACGGAGATGGTGATGGTTCAAGTCGCCGGGGTCCGGCGTCTGTTGCATGTCAACGAACATGGAGACTGCAGGTCGCCGGCTGGTTCATCGGCTGAAACTGGGAAATCACGTTGCTGCTAGAGAAGGCCACAATAGGCGTGCTCAGGACTTAAATCTAGCCACAGAGCTGCACTTTCATGAGTGGATGGTGGAGGCAGTAACTCGGCGAAGAAGATGATGACCCTGTGCATGAGAATGAGGACGGTGCTAGGGCCCTGCTGGGAAGTTACTTTTCCCACTTTTCCAAGTGAATGACTCTGAAAATCTTTCTTAAATTACATATGACTTCTTCTGCAGTCGTTTTAGGACCGTGCTGTTCTTTAGCCACAAAGGGAATCCAAGTCTCGGATTCTCTCCCCTGCAGGAGCTGATGGCGAGGTGATGTCGGTGATGTCAATGAAGCAAATATGAACGGTGATGGTAGAAACAACCTGGTAGAATAATCTTGCTCTTGATCGGGGCACGGCTTGGACGGTGGAAATGGGATTTGATGGATGATAGACCATCTGCATGCAGAGAGGCTGCTTCTCCGTCCAAATTGTGATTAGCAGCAAAGAAAATGGCCTCCACTAGGAATCTGGGATCGCCAAGTAGCAATAAACAGAAACAATAGGCCAACTAACTTCGCGGTGTAGTGGTTAAAGCAGTGGCTTAGTAGCTTGAATGCCTAGGTTCAAATCCCTCCCCCATTCCAGAGCTTCATAGTTTTTTATAGCTTTTTCTTTGATGGTAGGAACGCAACTCTTCGTCACGATCCCCACGGACGGCGCCAAAATGATACGGTTAATACCCGTGTACGTAGGATGTATGTATGTATGTGTATGAACAATGTAGAGGATAGCTCAAGTAGATCTCTTTTATTCATAATTATTTGTAGAGAGAAGGGAGAGCATTCTAGAGAGAGAGAGAGTATAGTGTAGTGGAGAGGAAGCCCCTAAAATGAAGGGTTAAAATCCTTTATATAGGTCAACCCAAGCCGGGTTTGACCTTGACTCGAACCATTTGACCCGACCCAAATAGGAGCACGAAGCGTACGGGGAGCCTGAACCCGGGGTATATTCCCCATCAAATGGAATTGCTAGAGGGTTTTTATATTTGCACCAAGATTCACGTCTAAGAATTATTCATAGAGACCTTAAAGCTAGCAACATTTTGTTGGATATTGACATGAACCCAAAGATATCAGACTTTGGCCTAGCTAGAAGCATCGGAGGAAATGAAACTGGAGCAAATACAACCCGAGTAGCTGGAACACAGTAAGAATCTCAACTTCATCTTATATTGCTATATTTTTTGGTAGTTGAATATAACAATTAACAAAATAAAATTTTAAAGTACAGTGGTAAGGATCTCAAGTGCATTTTATATTGCTATATTTTTTGGTAGTTGAAAATAACAATTAACAAAGTAAAATTGTAAAGTACAGTGGCTACATGTCGCCGGAGTATGCAGGAAGTGGAATGTTCTCTACTAAATCAGATGTATTCAGTTTTGGTGTCTCAGTGTTAGAAATTGTGAGTGGGAAAAGAAATAGGGGATTTTCTCACCAAGATCACTATGAGAACCTTCCTAGCTATGTAAGTCTCATACTTTGAACATATTGTTTTTTTTTTTTATTTTAGTAGTATTGACTCTGTTACAATGCAGTATCTGTTCATTTTGAACTCATTTTGAACATGTTCAAATGTTGTGTTTGAACATATTGTTTTAACAATCAATTTTTGCTGCCCTGATATACAAATTTCTATATCCTGAAGGCTTGGAAGCTTTATAGAGATGGTAGATCAATTGAACTACTAGATGAGCATTTGGTTGAATCGTGCAATTTGACTCAAGTTCTAAGATCAATTCACGTTGGGTTATTATGCGTTCAACAATACCCAGAAGATAGACCAAGCATGTATTCCGTAGTTCAAATGTTGTCCAATGATGCGGACTTGGCTATTGCTAAAAAACCTGGTTTTTTCACAGGAAGGGCAATTGAGGCCCATATTTCTACGGTGGAAATAACTGATTCTGTAAATGAAGTCACCATTTCATTGTTAAATCCTCGTTAAAAATGAATGCATAATCAGGTTGAGCTAGGGCTCCCCAAGTTTCTATGTGTTCTTTCTAGCATTCATAGTTACATTGTTGAACCTAAAACTCTTTTAAGCATACAAGGACAGCAAAATAAATATGCATGTTTATACCAGCATTTTGTTAAAATCTGAAAATTTTAGGATTCAAAAGTTTGAAACTCTTTATACCATGTCCTTACTTTTGTTTTTGTTTAATGTGTTCTTGAGCACCTTTTTGATAATATTTTCCATGTCAAAGTTATGCTCTATAAAAATAGTTAATTAAACTTCAGAGGGGTCAACAACAAATTAAATATGATATTCTAATAATTTCTATACGGAACAGAGTCCGTAGTAAAAGACTCTTTAAATCAACTTCCAATCATTATTGCGGAGATCGTGATCCACACAGTTGTGTGGATCAGGTCTAAATTGTTCTAACTTATAAAATTTATTATCTTACCCTAAAAATTTAATTATTCTAACACATAAAGTACATTATACATTATTATGAGGTCAGGGTCGAGGTCGACCTTTGCAAGGTGGACCCTTATTCTAAACGACGCATAAATTGTACTCAGTATATTTTAGTATTAGAATTGTGAAATTCTAAAATATAAATTGTGTTTTAAAAGTTAACACATATAACAACTGTCATGGTTATTAAATCCTAATTTGTTAATATTGTGTGACTACAATATTTGAAAGGATCTTGTAAATACAAATCAAGGTAATCAATTACATATATGTTAACATTGCAAGGTGGACCCGCATTCTCATACCGCGGACTAACCCTAGTCATTTATGCAATTATGTGCCTATTTGAAAGGATCTTGTAAATACAAATCAAGGTAATCAATTACATATATGTTAACATTGCAAGGTGGCCCCGCATTCTCATACCGCGGACTAACCCTAGTCATTTATGCAATTATGTGCCTATATGATAGATGTTTTTTTTTTAAGAAATACGACTCCACTGGGGATCGAACCCAGAATCTCTAGTTCCATAAACCAACACCTTATCCATTAGGCCATGGAGTCTTGATGTTATACAAGATCCTTTCAACCTGGGGATGTGGCCTGGTTGTGTGGAAGGTAGAGCTGTCGAAACGGTCTCGCGGGGCGAGACGGGCCAAAACACACCAAAGCCCGTCCCTGTAGCGGGGCGGGCTAAAAAGTCCGCATCTTAGCAGGCTTGGAATGTGGCCGGCCCGTCCTGCCATGCCAAAGCCCGCTGGCGGAAATACTTTTTTGTAATTAGAAAAGATTTGTTGTACTGTAGGCTTGAAGTTACAGTACTGTGTAAGTGTTTTAATTTTAAAAAATGACATGCAAACTAACAACATGTATTAAATACTAAATATTAATACAAATTAAAATAACAAACAACTAATAGAAATTATCCAAACTTTCAAGTTTCTATTCAACATTAGGAATTAAAATAAAATAGTTTTGCAAATACTAAACATCTAAAACTCATAATTCATCAACCATTATATCACTCATATCATGGTCTTCTTCTCCTTGATCTCTATCATCATTGATTTGGAAATTGAGAATTGCGAAACATGCTGCGATTTTTTTTTTTAATATAGATTAGTAGGCCGCAGGCTAAACCCGCAGCCCGCCTGACCTGACCCGCCCCGCTTGGAACGGGACGTGTCGACCCAGCGGTTAAAACTCATTTTTTACGGCTCTAGTGGAAGGGGTTCATCCATCCTTAACCAAACGTCAAGGGGTCAATCCTTGGCTTTGGGAATGGAGCAGCCTTAAATCTCCAGGCCAGTTGTCCCACGCAAAAGAGGTGCCTACAATCTAGCGAGGGATTAGTCACGATGTCCGACGGTTGAAACCCAGGGTATACCCCAAAAAAAAAAAAAAAAAAAAAAAAAAAAAAAAAAAAAAAAAAACCCTTTCAATTGCCATATTTTGGGTGAGTTGTTATATCATGGACAGGTCCACCTTGCAAGGTCTACTGGGGATCAATAAGAAAGGTCTTAGGGTCGAACCACATCCCAATCAAAGTTGGCATAATTAGTACTCTATTTTACTCTTATTAAATTAAATAATAATTTAGTTGCTACAATAAAAAATAATAAATATGCATTTCTATAATTTAGAATTATGTGTCTACAATGCCTTTATTCAAAAAAAATTAGTCATTATCAATAAATTAAATAAGAGAAATAATTTCATTATTAGTTATATTGTCTTTATTTTTCTCCAATATAAAAATTCTTTATATTCAAATTCATCAATTGATTATATTCGCTACACTGTCCCTATAATGTCTTTATTCAAAAAAAAAAAATTATTCATTTTCAATAAATTAATTAAGAGAAATAATTTCATTAGTTATATTTTCTTTATTTTTCTCCAATGTAAATATTCTTTACATTCAAATTCAACAATTGATTATATTCACTACATTGTCCATTACCTTTTTTGTGCACTATTTTTAATTAAATATCAAAGTTATAATACAAAATAATGCTATATATTTATTTACCAAGTATTTTGTTAATACCATGAAAAAATTAAAAAATATATAATTAAACCAATCATATTAACTACTTGAGGAATTTGTTGACAAAGAGAGTATTCAAATCACACAACAAATTGAAGTGAGAAACTATCTCGCAATGTCCTTGTTTGACAACCAACAGCTCGCGGATTATATTAGCGGATTTGACCAGCGAATTATATCAACGATTGATAAAAAAGATATTTGAAAAAATTAGCTGTTTAGATTAACATGTAAAATGACATAAGGGTAATAATAATAATAATAATAATAATAATAATAATAATAATAATAATAATAATATTTAAAAAAATAGTAATTTAATAAAAAAAAAAATTTTTAAAAATAAAAAATAAAACATATGGGGAGCCGAACATTCGGCTCTCCTTATTTTTGTCAATTTTCTCATATTAGTGGGAAAAGTGACATAGGAGCCTTGAGGCTCCAATTTAGAAATAAGCCTGCCCATCCGTTGATGAGCAAGCAGTGAGCCAGCAAAATTGGCTCTTGTTATTCAATGAGTAGAAATGACTATATAGTTTTAACTTTTTTTTTTTTTTTTTTTTTTTTTTTTTTTTTTTTTTTTTAAAATATAGAGGTGTTTTGGAGAAATTATTCTTAAAAACGCTAAGTGAAAATATTGTAAATTGCAATGTTTTTATTTTTAGTAGCTTGGAACAAATTGTTGCTTCAAACTGTTGAATAACCAAACACTTTCTTTAGCATTTTGATCTTTGGGTTACATCATATTTACCAATCGTCCAATATCTTTGAGTTACATTATAATTAATTAAAATTTTTAAATTTTTACTACTTCATCTAAATTGTTTAAATTAGGAATTTCTTTATACATAATCATTTATTCAACAATAATGCTTGAACTAAATGAACATTGAACAAAACCTAAAGAACTGGTACCATTTGATTCATTCATTGATCTTGTATTTTTTTTTTTTTGAATGCTACTAGCTCTATTACATTGTAGTATCTGTTCATATACTTTCTCAACCTACTGATACACAAAGAGTTAATAACGCCTCCACTGAGGCTCGAACTCACAACCTTCCAAATGGAAGTCCAACCCGGGTTTCATTGATCTTGTATATATGTGCATTCATTAAATATATTAGAACCCTTTGTAACAAAAAATACTTGGTTACTATTTAAAAAAAGTTTAGTAACAATTATAATGAATCTCCTATATTACATTGTATTCATATACTATGAGTTACATATTTAAATAAACAAAATTGACATTAAATTACTTATGTATGAACTTCTCATATACAATCTTGAATTGATATACTTTTGAATATTTATTTAATTATAAGCATTGGACATTAACTTATTCGCGCTGCGCGTGTAAAATTAATATTTATATACATATAAAAAATTGTTATCGTCTTTCAGCATTCTCCGGCCTCATTATTTAATGATCATTCTTTGGCTTGTCGTTTAGGTTTGATCTCTCTGTTTGGATCATTCAATTATCAACTTTCAATCATTCAATTTGCAGCGTTTGATCCTATTCAGTTGATTATTGATCACATTATAGATACGAAAATCGGATGTCTGCCATTGAAGAACATAATGCTATTCCCTTTTTATATAGTTTAGATGTGATTCCAATTCTGATTACATTGTGTAGATTGTGTTCCGAGTTATAGTGTGTACTTTCTGTATTTCAAGTGATGTGAATGTTTTGATTGAAATTGAACCGAGTTCTCCAATTGATGTTGATCATAGCCGTGCTATGCAATTTTAGGTTGGTGCTTCATGTTTTTTTTTTTTTTTTTTTTTTTTTTTTTTTTTTTTTTTTTTTTGTAGAATAATTGAGGTATATCATTGCAAAATAGAGGCGTGTTGAAATTAATGTTGCAATAACCTTGATAGCGGACACGGGACAAAAAAAAAAAAGAACAGAAAGATATATATTGCCAATTATTATACGTACTTGAACTCTGTCCTTTGTCTTGTCATTACAAAGACTGTCCTATTTGCCTTTATATAGGGTATGAGGCAACTAGAAAGTACGATCAAGCATGAACTTAGATGCACAAAATTAGGATCCTTCTAAAAAAGGATCTTGAATTGAACAGAAGAGTTTTTCAACAGTAAAATATTAATAATTAGAATTATATGATGGTCCAACATCCCTCCCCCCTTAATTTTGATTGGAAGGGTCTTCACTCCAAGTTGATTCATTAGCTTGATGTATGTTTCGAACTTCACTGTTTCGTTAGAACGTTTACATTTTGATATTCAGTCTTGTAGTATTCCAGCTTGATCATTCCTTTGTTAACTTGATCTCTCAAGAAATGATAGTGTATGTCTATGTGTTTATCCTTCCATGAAATACATGATTTTTAGCTAAACTAATATTCGATACGTTGTCTACATAGATCTTGGTTGGACCTTGCTTTCAAAATCCAAGTTGGCTTATTATGTTGCTAAGCCAAATTGCCTAACATGCACTTGATGCTGCTGCAATATATTCTGATTCTCATGTTGATAATGCATAGTCATAATCTTGTCGTTGTTTAAACCTTTTTGCCACTAGCCCTGCTCTGTACCTTTCAACCTCACCATTTGACTTGATTTTGCTCT